TGTTATATTAAAATTTTAAAAAATCAGCCAGACAGAAAGCATAACATAATTAATGTGAGGGAACTGTTAAGAATCATCAATTATATGAACACATGTACATGGGTTTGACTCATCTAAGAAAAAATAATTCAGGTTTGGGTCACATAGCTTGTAAGAGACACCTTTAGATAAAGTGATTACAAATTTTGAAAATAAGAATATGAGTAAATAAGAATATGAATTTCAAATATATTATTTCAAAATAAGAATATGTTGTTTCAAAATAAGTAGGGTTTCTATTTTTATATATAATTGGAATTGAGGCCAAAAAGGATTATTTGAAATGAATAATTGACTTTTTAGTGCCAAGAATGCAATTCACAATGAAGATAAAATAGTTCTGAATAGATCATTATTGACTATCAATGTATCCATATATCCATAAAAAGGAGTGGAAAAAGAAATAATTTAATCTTAAGAAATTTCAGTATAACTCAGCATCATGAGAGATCAAATGAACAAAATATTAAACAAGATAGAAATTCTAAGAATCATAATTAATTAGGAAGATCAGAAGGGTACACTGAGAACTCTGTATTCCAAATGTAGAGTCTATATTTTCTTTTTGTGAGTGCCTGTTAAAATATTTATAAAAGTGACCTTTATTATATACAAATCTGTAATCAATTTAAAAAATAGGCACAATTTAATAATACCAGAAATCAGAAAATAGCCTCTTGCTTTCTTAATCAACTCTTGGGTAAAAAACAAAATATCAGAATATTTAGGAATTGTGATACAAAAGCTTTGTATGTAGTATGTGCCAAAGCAGTGCTCAGGTGAGAACTCATATGCATATGAAAGAACAGTTAACCACTTACTTAAAATTAGAAAAAGAACAACAAACTAAATGAAGGGAAGCACAAGGAAGAAATTAATAAAGATGAATGAAGAAATTGAATCAGTAAAACTACAGAATTGAGAATTAGTCTGAAAGTGCGTCATCTGTTTAATTTTTTATTACTGAAAGTCAACTAACTCACTCAAGAAAAAGAAGCACACAAATTTACAACATAATCATCACAAAAATGAGGAAAATTAAAAGGACATATTTCTATTAATATGGCAAATATATTAAAAAATTGGATAAAATGGAAATTATTGTGGAAAAATATAATTTACCAGTTATGTATGTATATATATATATAAAGCTTAAAATCAAACGGCTAATCAGCAAAGTACCAGGCTCAGTCTCTCTCATGAGAAAATTCTAGCACACTCGTAAAGAGCAGGTAATTCCGGCACTATTTTGAAGTATACAAAAGCATAGAAAGCTAAGAAAATCATGCAGATTATCTTTTTATGTAGCAATGAAATATAAATATTAAAGTCTGATAAAGATTTCACCAAAAAATATAACTAGAGACCAGTTGAACTTACTAATATTGATAAAAAATCCTGAATAAAAAGTTAGCAAGCAGAACTTAGCAGCACATCAAAAGAATTACTCATCATTACTGAACAGGATTTATTCTAGGAATGCAAGGCCATCCCAGTGTGTAGTGGTTTAAAAACATCTACTTATTTAATCCATCATATTAACTGATCTGAGTACGTGATCATCTCCATGGATGCTGAACTCTAACATCATTTTAATTAAAATAAAATTATCTAACTTGGTAAAGGTGGTTTCCTTGACGTGGTAAAATACATTTGCATATTAGCCCCAAATCTGGCCTCTTGCTTCATGAGAAACATAGCAGTATTCCCACTGAAGTCTGGAACAGATAGGAATGCTTATAAGCACTGGTCTGCAGTTTGGTAAGTTTTATATTGAATTAGCAAATAGATAGGAGAGAGAAAATGAAGGCATAAAAATTAAAAAGGAGGTAAAGCTAGTGCTTTATAAAGATTTATTCATTCATTCGGAAGTACTTACTGTGTTCCTGCTGTATTCTAGGTACTAGTGAAAAAAAGAAACTAAAATTTTTCTGTTTATAGAGCTTACAACCCAGTAATATGCTTTTATATGACTGTGTATCTGGAAAATTAAGGAAATCAAGTAAAAAACTACAGTAAACAATATGAAGTGTTAGTACGAAATAGTAACCATATATATGCAAACAGTAAGCAGTTAGAAGATATAAGAAAATTCCTTATTTACAAGAGAAACCAAAAAAGATAATATCCCTAGGAATAAATGTAACAAGGATGGGCAAGGTATGGAAGGAAAATTTTCAAATGCTGTTGAAGGACACAAGACAAATACAAGAAAGATGTGAATTCTACATTAACTTAGGATTTGGTTATGTCATTAAAAATACAAACAGGTTTACTTGTTTGACCCTTTGTTTATTTTGAAACTAGACAAGTTAATTCTAAAGTTCATATAGAAATACAGGTAAGGATTTCTGAGTAACTTAACTGTACATACTGGCACATAAGTACTAGAATAATGGAAGAGTAGCTTCAGTTTCTCATGGGGAAAAGTGAATGATGGTATTGGGCTATCTGGGCCACCACTTAGAAAGAAAGCAAATTGGATTCATACCTTCCATATATACCAAGATATAGTCCCAATGCACTAAAGATTGAGTGTGAAAATCAAAAAGGTTAAGTGTATTAGAATTAAAACTGCAAATGTAAAAGAATTTCCTAACCATTTAGAGTAGACGAGGCATTTCTAATTAGGACCCCAAATTCAGAAGCTGTAACAGAAAAGATTGATACATTCAAATATGTTCTAAAAAATCTTCTGTAAGTAAAAAACACCATAAACTAATTCTAAACCACAAATGACACTTCAGTACAAAGTATGCACCCTGTGATACTGACACAGGTTTAATCACCCTAATAAGTGAAGAAATTCTGCAAATAAATAAATAAAATACCTACAAATCAAGAAAAAGGTGGGATATAAAGTAGATGTGAAATGACTTCAAGAAAAGGAAATACAGATGTTTTTTAAAGCACATGAAAAGATACTTTTCTTATAAAAATAAAGTTAAAAATAGGCTATACTATACTACAAAAGTAGAGATACTGTTTTTATGATTAAGACTGAAAAAAAATGGAAAGGTCTGATAACATACTCTGTTGACAAGCTTTGGGAAACAAAGATGCTTGCATGTAAGAATATAAATTGGGAAAAACATTAGTGAGGATAATTTTTCAATATCTAAATAAGTGTATAGTCCCTTTGATCTCCAACATTCACTTCCAGGAATTTATCCCTGTATATGTGCCTGTATAAAATGAGCATGACAGGTTATTACAGCATTGTTTATAGTAGTAGAAGCTTGGAAGCTACCTAAATGTCCATTAATAGGAGAATGGATCAATAAATTATGACATATCCTGACAGTTTTACAAAAAGAGGCTATTCTTTATATTTTGATAGGGAAATATTCCAAGATGTAGTGTAGCGTGAAGAACCCCCAAGTCCACAATGATATGTGTAGTATGCAGCCATTTGTGTGCCAAGGCGGATAGAAGAATCCATATCCAAGTTTGCTTATACTTGTGTAAAATGACTCTGGAAAGAAGCAGATTAATAACTGGGTACCTGATAGGACGGGGAGCGTCCTTATAGGCAACTGAGAGAGTGGGAGCAAAGTGGGAAGGTGAGCCTGGGGTAGTTTTTAATTTGTGAACCATGTGAATGTTTTACCAATTCCATAATCTTAGACGATAAATTGAAATTAAAATTTAAAATGGTATAGCCAGGGCATATTGTAGGCTGGGAAGTTTCTCTCTCCTTTATTTTTTAATTAAGAAAGACACAGAAGGAGAATGTAGATGGTGTCACTACTGCGAGAAAAAACCACTTTAACGTACATGCCTCAATGAAAGTTGGCAAATGACTTCACAGATACAAGATCAGCACATTTTATAACTCAGGCCTGACTCTAAAGCCTTTTGTTGTGTTTCCTTTGTGCCCGACACCCTGAGTTGCTCCATGCTTTGAAAAGGTTGCTTGTGAACATGCCACTCTTACAGCTTGCAAGCTGGCCGGCCTGCCTCCCCCGACCCCGTTTTTGGTTGTTTCTTCTGATTGTTTACATCTTGTTAATATTAAGGCAAAGGCAGGATGAATGCAAGTGGAGGACTGGCTCGGCTTGGTGGTATTGTGGGGTCACCGCCCTGATGCACTTGGAAGAGGTGAGAGGAGGAAAGGGGAGAATGACCTCTGTGGAGTTTGACATGCATTTTTCCATTTGGTCCTCAGCACAGTTGCATCTAGGTGGATAAATAACCCTTTTCTTTAACAGCAGGTGAGGAAACTGAGGCTCATAGAGGAATTGGGGTGAGGATATGAACCTCTCTGTCATCTCCTAAAGTTACAGAAATGAGTGAGACACAATGATATGATCATATGGCAAACAGGAAATAGGACCTCTTTTCACTTTGCCAAGTTTGGGTCCTCAGGTAGTGCATAACTGTAAAAGGTTTGCTGGAGTCTGGTTGAAAGGAGTGGCTAAGAGAAGGACTAGAAGAGGACTCATGTGAAGAACAGCGGAGAGGTCTGCAAGAAGGGGGAGAAAGAGAAAATGCGCTTGGTAGTGGAAGGGGTATCTTAGGCTAAAGTGAGGTATTTTCTGATTACTCCATGCTTTTTGTCTGCCCTACATTATGCTGATCTGTGCTCACTGGGTAGAGCATTTTTCCTGAGAAAGTGAAGTATTGAATGATGCTTCTTTGCAAATTCACCTTCCCTAACTCCTTTCCCTGAAGGTCAGTGGAGCTGACTCAGCCAGGTATCTTTGACAGAATCAGTCGAATCTTTGTTGCAGACCAGAAGTGCAAGATTCATATTTTTCAGTATTTCATAATGAATAACTTTTCTTGTCCTAAGTGGTTAGTTATGGTCAGGATGCTAATGGAAGCCCTCAGTCCTCCATGGCAAACATCAAAACCTCAGTAGCAGATAGTAAATATAGGGAAAAAAAATAAGGTATGGACAGGAACATGTCTGTTTATGGTGAAGATGAAAATGATTTTTCTGGCACCTTGTTTCATAGCATCCTGATGAAAAAAGATTGGAAGGTCTCTCCAAGCAGCTGGACTGGAACGTTCGCAGCATCCAACGCTGGTTTCGGCAGAGACGTAACCAGGAGAAGCCGAGCACCCTAACACGGTTTTGTGAGAGCATGTGAGTTTTTGTTTTTCTTTTTGAAAGAAAAACCTGCTTAACTACTCATACATCCATGAGGTGAAAAAATAAAGGCACGGTGCAGGCTCCAGCAGCCCCTAAAAAAAGCATGCCCTTTGGCAGAAAAGTAGTCCATGAAAAATTGGGGGATAGCAGTTTATAAGAATTTGTGGTTTCCACTTGGGGGTGCTGTAAATGAAGTTCGCTTCTTGACGCAGTCCCTCCAAAGTGAGCAGATTCTGCCTACAATGGTATTTTCAATCAGCCACCTTTGAAATAATATCACTCAAAGTTACTACTTTCAGAGTTTGGATTTTAATAGAGGTTCTTTCCACTGATAAAAGCTGAGATACTAGGACATATTATCAGAAGGTCATGATGATGTCCTCTATTTTTAGAGATTAAAGAAATGGCTGTATTATATTCCTGTGTGAGTTGAATAAATTGCTTGAAGGTGGTGGGATGGAGTAAAAGTCCCTTCCATTTCAGAAATCTGCACTTCTGTGCTGTGTAAACTGTTTACCAGTAAAGCTGTTAAAGAGTAATAAAAGACACAGCAAGAACTCTTCTAACATAGTGATATTTCAGAGGAATGACACTCAATACAGTTGCCTACAGGAAACTCAGAGAAATACTGAAGCATCAAACACATCCCCCCAAAGAGAAAGGTTCGGCTGGACACCCCTCATTCTGTTAGAGCTCCATCCTCTGGGCTGTGACTATACTTTGCCCAACAGTTCTTTGGGGGCTTCTGCATGACACCTGGGCATGTAAACAGTGGTGCTGTCAGTGTGGTTCCCTTTGGGTCAGGCTCTTTCTATTTGGGGCTAAAGCTGCTTTTTCACGTTTAGCTTCCGATTATTCCAAAAAAAGTATTTTAGCAATTAATTGCAATCTAAAGTTTAGAGGAAAGCCTAATGTTATAGAAGAAATGAGTGAGAGGCAGTATGATGATATAAATCCCTAGGGCTGGATAAAAAGGGGAGTATAAACAGTACTTTAGGAGGTCAGAACATTTGTAAAACCTAGGAAAACAGCCTAGTAGATAGACTTTGCAAAGCCCTTCCTAGGAGTGAACCTAGTGGCAGTTTATGGAAGAAGGATTTATGCCTCTGGGCTCCTGATCGAAAGCAGGAATTGCTTCCTGGTCTGGCCTTGCCACATCCGCAGAGGGCCTGGGCTCCTTCCCTGAGCCGTGGGTCTGGGTGGGGGGTGAAGCTGGGTCTCATGCATGGCCCCCATGCTGAAACTCGTGCCATCCTCACCTCTTCCAACTAACTTCTTCGGAAACTCAGTTCTACTCCTTCTTATATTAGACCACATTTCTATATTTTGCACCAGTTTCTATTCCAGTAGGCATAGGAATCAGTCACCTGAATCTTAGTAAAATGAGCATTCTGGTTCATTTGGTCTGGCATGGCAGTCGAGTCTGCATTTTTAACAAGTTCCGAGGTGATGCCCCTGGTCCATGGCTGCATTTTGAATAGCAAGGCTCCATACAGTACCAGTATCTGTGTCTTCTCCCTAAATTCAGCTAGGCTTCATTTGCATAGTCATAATCAGTTAAAAATATTTCTAAATGATTGCTAGAGGCATGGCAACATGAAGGCACAATTCAGGGGAAAACACAGTATCAGTTATGATCTCTTCCCTCAAGTAGCTTCTTACAATAGTGTCAAGGAGAGAGGAGTATATGTGGGTCAGTGATAGATAATAAAAAATAAACAGATACATGTGTTAACCAGTTGGTACAGACCGTCAGTAATTAAAGAGCAAAGGAGAAAGATTAGCTGTGAGGTAAAGCACACAGTGGGTGGCTGGGACCAGCAGAGTCCATACTGGTGGCCTTTGACCTCTCTGGTGCAGAAGATTGCGTTGGTGAACTCTGTTTTGAAGCTGTTCCTGCTTGGCTTCTGGATCGCCATCACAGTCTCCTGTCTTCCTAAGGGCTTTTGTTTGCGTTATTTATTCTGCATTTTCCCATTTACCTTAATGGGCTTCTTCTCCATATTCAGGCTTTAACCTCTTATCTTCTTCATTCCACCTTCCCCCCTCTGTAGAATTTATTTCCTCTCACCAACTTCCTCTGAAGCCAGTGTCCCATGCAGAGGTTTTCTGAAGCATCATTCTGTTATCTCCAACTGGCAACTCTGATCAGCTCCTACCACTAACTTCCTTTTTTTCTAGTTGTTTGTATGCCTGCGTTCTTTTAACGGCTGGAAACTCAGACCAATCCGTCCCTGAATTCCATTAGTTCTTTGTGAAGCCCTTGGTATGGCCCAGATCCTAATTGCTCTCATACTCAAAGTTATTTTGTTTTCTACAAAAATCAAA